CAATATACATATAACGTATATAAACACATATTATTATATTAAATTAAAAATAGAATATTTATTACTTCTGATTTTACGAGTCTAGGGTGCAGAGTACGAGGTCTTGGACGATTCTCAGGAACATTGGTGGAAAGTTAAGGACGAGAATGGGTATATAATACTTTTTGAAATAGCTTTAAAAATTGCATCTGCACGACTTGACTCTTCTTTATGGCAAACGAGTTAGCTACGTCTTATCTATATATATTTTTTTTGTCTTATACATACGTCGCAGTAGCAGCGATTAACCGACAATCGTGAAAGAATAATTGGTTGTACGCGCACAATGCAAACAATAATCTTAATGATACTCTTGTATAATCATCGATAATTATTCATAATAGCCAGATTGTTTACTTATGCATTTAAAATATGCATACGTAGTGAAAAACAGGTTGCAGAAAGCTATATGATGCGCATTTAATTGCAGATCGATCGGTTATATTCCTAGCAACTACGTTAAAGAGAAGGAATTATTGGGACTGCAGAAATACGAGTAAGTAATAATCTTTTTCTACAAATCACCGAATTTAGTATCTCTTGAATCTCATAACATTTTATTGTTTTTTCCATTTTTTGAATTATCACTTATCAAAATTTAGTTAGAAAAAAATATTTTTCCAGCAGAACTTGAACAGCGCTCGGTAGTGATCTCATATAAATCGTAAGATGATACATGATAAGGGTAAAAAAATGGTTCCACTTGCTGTTGTAGATGGTACGTAGGTGATATGTCAAGACAACGCGCCGAGTCATTGCTGAAACAAGAAGATAAAGAGGGCTGTTTTGTCGTTCGTAATTCGTCGACGAAAGGGCTTTACACGCTCTCACTTTATACGAAAGTGTAAGTTAACAGTACAAGTGGTCTCCACTGACTGGCTCTAAATTATTTCATCTTTCGATTGTCGATAATTTAAGATTTTTTTGCTCTGCCGTAGGCCACATCCCCACGTGAAGCATTACCACATCAAACAAAATACCCGCGGAGAATTTTACTTGTCGGAAAAGCATTGCTGTGGCTCCATTCCCGATCTAGTTAATTATCATAGACACAACAGCGGTGGTCTAGCCAGTCGATTGAAGACCAGCCCCTGCGATCGTCCTGTACCACCGACTGCCGGCCTCAGTCATGGTTGGTAAAATTTAATTTATATACGTACATTTTCTTCATTCCTTAATATTAATATATTTCATATAAAACACGCATAAGAAGTATCAAGAAAAAATTTTTTTTTTATATGACGCTACATAATGGACGGTCTTTTTATAGACAAATGGGAAATCGACCCAGCGGAATTACATTTGTTGGAGGAGCTTGGATCCGGCCAATTTGGAGTCGTGCGGAGAGGAAAATGGCGCGGCTCTATCGATGTCGCCGTGAAAATGATGAAAGAGGGAACCATGTCCGAGGATGATTTTATAGAAGAAGCTAAAGTAATGACGTAAGTCTTAATCTATTTTCCGCAATTTTCAATAAACAATTCTAGATAGCCGACTGAAATCCTTTGAATTCAGTCAAAAACTATATAATATTACAACTTATTCTCTAAATAATATCGATATCGATCTCTTTAAAATATATTTATCATAATAAATTTTATTCATTTGTGCAGAAAACTGCAACATCAAAACCTAGTCCAGCTATACGGCGTTTGCAGTAAAGATAGACCAATATATATTGTCACGGAATACATGCGGCATGGATCTCTTCTCAACTACCTCCGCCGTCATGAAACCTCATTAGGTGCAAACGTTGGCCTCTTGTTAGATATGTGTATACAGGTAACGCAAATTCCGTCTTGCAGACAGTAGAACATGTTACATGTGGCGGTCATCAACAAAATTCTAGTTATCAAAATTTTCCGAATATGGTATTTACATTTTTTTATATAGGTTTGCAAAGGAATGGCATATTTAGAGAGGCACAACTATATACACAGAGATCTTGCAGCACGTAATTGTCTGGTGGGATCGGAAAATGTAGTAAAAGTTGCAGATTTTGGTTTAGCTAGGTATAAACTATTTAATTTTATTTTTATATTCCTACATTTTATAAAAATAGAAAGCTCAGTGTAAGCGAATATTAAAATTTAACTGATTGAGCGAGTACTAAAATTTAACTGATGAATATTTTCAGGTATGTACTCGATGATCAGTATACCAGTAGCGGTGGCACTAAATTTCCTATTAAATGGGCGCCTCCGGAAGTTTTAAACTACACGCGCTTCAGTTCGAAATCGGATGTGTGGGCATACGGAGTACTTATGTGGGAAGTGTTTACGTGCGGAAAGATGCCTTACGGTCGCTTAAAGAATACGGAAGTCGTCGAGCGAGTGCAGCGAGGAATTATTTTGGAACGACCTAAAGCGTGTTTCAAGGAAGTGTATGAGGTAAATTGTGCTCATGTTTTATCATTCCTCGTATATTGTGTATAGAATCACGAGTTTATGGATTTGAATTCTAGGTAATGCGCAAATGCTGGGCTCACTCTCCGGAAGTACGACCGTCCTTCCGCGTCCTGAAAGAGCAGCTGATTAGCGTCTCTCAAGGATTAGTCAACGATTGACTCAACCTTTTGCGGTGTATGCGCCTGTCCTCACCATCCTGCCGATCGATCCGCTCGACGGCAAAATTGTCGCCGTCATCGGAACGATTGCCCTCTGCCGGTCTACCCTCGTCAAACTTGCCGTACAATTCAGCAACGTTGCCGTCGCGCAAGACACGCGCGCCGGCTTCCCCGCCGCCTTCCACAATCGATTTCCCTCGTCGTTTCTCATCGACTACGTGCAAATCAAAAAGAGAGGGCTCCTCGTCGCCGAATACACCCGGGCATCAAGCTAGTCAACAAAAACCATCTTCGAGCTCGACTAATAATGTGTGTGACGTTTGCAGTTCCTACGGACATCCGTGGATTGAAATATGCAAGGCGATACGAGCCACTAAAGGTAAATGAGTAAAAAGAGTGTGTGTACGTGTAATTGAGTAATTTACACTACTCTCCATTGCGAGCTATTAGAGAGCCGTAATATGGAGAAGTGATTCTAACGAAACCCCATAAGCGTTAATGCCTCACTTCTTTCGTCTACCTTCTCCTCTTATCTCTCGTCCTGCTCCGTATGCATCTCTGAACATCTTGAGGCAGATGTATTTCGTATATTACGTGACTTTACTCGATACTGGGATGCGTGATACTCTCTACGTGCGTTTCACATACTATTTTTCCCATATAATTTTTAGATTTTACTCTGTATCGTCATAAATACATTTATATAGAACAATAGTATTTATTGATGGCCTTTGCAACAGATGCAATATTCAACTTGTGATTCCGCTTAGAATAAATCATTTTTTATTATTATTTTGACAAAAATAATAACACAACTTTTAATCAGAGATATGGTTTCTGCTTAATAAACCGATTTAATAAGTAAACCGTTTCCGTTTTGTTTATACTTAACATAATTATAACCATTACAACTAATAAGTATAACTGTGAGATAAAAGAAAAGAGTGAAAGCAAGTTTATATTTTATTTTACGAATTGATTGAACGTAATACTTATTTGGAGTTAGCCTAATGGAAAATGGTAAGTAACATACATATCATTCGCATTCATTAATTACTCTTATTATAAATTTCATTACAAATTTATAAATTATAAATCTTGTATAAAGTGTAAATACAATTAAATAGCATATAATAAAATTAAATAGTTTAAAATATACGTTATGAACATCGAAAACAAAGAAAGTTAGCTAAAAATATATGTTTCAAGATCATTTTTATGATAAATATAATGGGCGTAAAACATTTTTTTTTAAGCATAGATGGTGTAGATCACATTTATTAAAACTATATTCGACTCATTTACAAACTTTCTTCGATATGAGTATAAGAGAAAACTTTTTTTGTGTGATCCGACGTAAGAAGTGAATCTGTCGCTCGAATATCGAACTTTCGAGGAAGCAGCACTGGTATCGTAAATATAACAAAAAAAAAAGTACTTTTCTCTAATATGTGATATTTCTAATTAAATTACATTCTATTTTTATAAACAAATAATAAGTGTAATAGATTTTGGTCACTTATGGCAAAGGGCATTAAAAATACAGGAATTTTGAAGTCTTCTTACACGGAATTTATCATTTGCCTTTTGATGTCTGAAACAAAAAAATATAAGAGATTATGCATTTTGCAGTTAAAAAGGAATTATCTCGATTGAATATATTTTGAGATTGTTGAGTTATAACATTAAGAACTCTCTCAATTAATCGATATATTTTTAAAGGCATTAGATACATAAGATACACATAAAGATATAAACTGTATTAGATAAATTTACAAAAGTTAATTATGTACGTACAAAAAGTACAGGATATAGAAATGTGGAGATGCTCTTCTCCGTATATCCTGATTGTACTTTACAAGTATATTCACCCATATCGGGCCAATTAAGATCCGTTATCTGCAGATCGCCACTAGGTAGAACAGTGTGTCTCGCGTGTGTGGTGGGACTTATGATTTTGCTCGAATTATCTAACCAGAATAGATAAGGCGCCGGGTGACCCACAACTCTGCATGGAAGAATTACCGTGTTTTCATTAAGAGCAAATCTCCAAGAGGCATGCAAGGTAATAGTTGGCTGACTCTCACTGTTGCATTCGGTAGCCTTAGTGCCTAGTAGATGTAGACAATATAATCAGACAATTCCGTAGATAACATCTATTCAGTTCAACAATGAAATATATTGTTGTACCACTTACTATTAACGAGGAGTACCGTCGGCGTCGATTGAGCTACTACATTTTTAGATACGGACACGCAATACTTTAAACCTTGATCTTCAACTCTGACGCAATCGATCACATATGTGGAAGTGATTTGACTAAGCCCTTCCCATTCCGTAGATATATGGCTGTTCGTTTTTTGAGCCCGTGAGGTCAACTCTTGAATCTACAAGAGGAATAGTGTGCGTGTATATACACACACACACACACACACACACACACACGTGCGTGTATGTATGTGTGCGTGCGTGTGCGTGTGTGTGTGTGTAGCGTGCGTGCATATGTAAAAAGGTCGGTATGTAAAAAGAGTACGTTGCTATATAACTCCTTTATCATAAATCACCGAGGATATCTTTCTCAGCATTAATTAACAAGACCGACCTGCCTTTCCGGCTCGTTTCCTGTTATCCAATAAACCTGGGGCGGCGGATTTCCAACTACCTCACATTGCAGTTCGACGCGACTCCTAAATGAACACGAAAGGAATGCGATCACATTACTTTCGCGTCTATGTGTGCACTAAAAATCGTTACTTTATATCGAAGCAGTATATATTTACCCGACGGCAACTTCTAAGGAATCCGGCGGATTCTGCAAAATTCTGGTCCACGTTGTCGTGAAGCCACTCTAGAACGAAGATATAGTATTACGTATATAGTATTACGGAGAAATTATAGATACAAAGCGGAAATAAAGAATTCGACTCGTTGTGTGTGAAGAACGGAGTTAAAAGCCGCGCGATGGCTCTTTTAGTTGATGAAATACGAAATGAAATAGATCATGAAAAGTTGAAGAAATTTATAACTTTATGTTCGTTGATTCAAATGATAAATAGAATTGGCGTTAACTCATAACTAGAACATGATCCATTTTTTCTAATTTTGAAATAATTTGAAATAATTATACTTATACACACACACACACACACACACACACACACACACACATTCTCGTCTTGATACTTGATTACTTGTCGTAATATTGCTTCATTATAATTTATCTGCAACTTTAATTTTATTCAATAGACTTATTTTTATCAAGATTCTACAAAAATATCGTATTAATCATATATCAAGATTAATAATCGTTGTTCTTCTATTATATTATTTAATTTTGTTTTAATTGATAGTTATATTATTTTTTTACGATTTTAAATAATTTTATATTTCAATCTCTTATTTTTCACACTTTTGTTCACTACTTGTATAGATTAATTATATTTATATTTATACTAAGTTCAAGTGTTACAATTTTGTTATACAGTTGAAAATACATAGTAAGTTAAAATTACATAGTAAGAGAAAACTTGAGTAGGATCCACAAGTACAAGAAAATGTGTTTCTGTTACGGAGAAATGAAATATACCTTTTTCATGCTGGCTGGTTTAATCTCACTTTTCAGTCTATTCGGTGCGCTGGAATGATCGACGTTTGCCCGCGTGTATGATGCATTTGTCATCAGAAAGAATGTCAAAGGACTTCCGAAGGCTACGTCGGTCGCGACGACGAGCGTCAAAAGATAAGCGAGGCCCAGCTGCATCTAGAAAGAGTCACTTACTTATGGAAACTTGCCGTAACGTATCGTTAATCGTTAACAATTATTAGGAAGTATATATACAAAATGTTCGGAGATTTTCCTTCGAACCGAGGACAAGAACTTGTCGCGTTTCGCAAAGTCTGGACGATCTCTACCGAATTAATTATCTATCTCCACAGCAATACCGAATTTACTGCAAAATTTCAAGTTCGAAGGACTGGATAATGAAATACAAAAGATTTTGCGCTGAAGTGATATTTGTATCATGAACGCTCAATACAACGTATTCCTTATATTTTAGATAGCATATACAATATGTATATATGGTGTCTCTCGCTAAGTAGATCCTCCCGAGTCATATCAATCCTTCCTTCTCATCCTTGAATAAACTTTTTCTTTAACAGCATTGACTACTAAAAGAATATCTAATAATTCTCCTTCACAAAACGAATCAGTATTCATTGAAATGCAGCTCTCCAAAAGATAAAGCAAAATTATATATTAGATGTAATAAAAAGAAATCCATTATTTTTCCATTCAATTTCATGCAAAAATAATAGATTTCTTTTTACTAACACCTAATATATATATATGTATGTATGTATGTATGTATGTATGTATGTATGTATGTATGTATGTATGTATGTATGTATGTATGTATGTATGTATGTATGTATGTATGTATGTATGTATGTATGTATGTATGTATGTATGTATGTATGTATGTATGTATGTATGTATGTAT